GGGGGCCGGGCCTTTATAGGTGGGGAGCCGAGCGTTTATAGAGGGCGGGGAGGGGGCCGGGCCCTCCCCGGAACTGGCGGCGCGGCTGGCAGCCAACAGGAAAGGGCGACAGCGGCGCAGAGCCCGGGCGGTGCAGGCGCGCTCGCAGCGGCCAAGCGCAACCTGCCCGCCCTCCGCGCGGCCCCATCCGCGCGGGTGACGAGCTGTGGCGCTGGCAGGGGCGTCTGGCCCTGGGCCCCTTGGCTCTTCTTGGGGGGGCGTTTAGCTTGGGGAGGGGCCTCGTCCGTCAGAAGTCACCCCGGCTCCCACGTTGGGGACCGCCCTGCGCCCGCTGCCCGGCATGCCCGTCTCCACTGCCAGCCTCTGAGCTTTGCAGACGAGGAAACAGGCACAGAGACGCCCGGGTCCAAATAGGAGCGGAGAGAGCGCCAAGGGGCCCTTCCCGTCCCCAGGCCTTCCCCCATCCCCCCTCAGCGGGGCTCTCCTGGCCAGCGTTCCCCTGGTGAGAAATTCGTATTTCGGGAGCTCAGGACACATCGTAAATCAACAGAGAATCACATGAGAGCAGAGCTGTTTCCTTCTGGAAGAAGTCACATGGCCGGTCTCCCGGGCCATCTAATAAATTAAAAAAAAAAAACTTGCATTTTAAAAGCGGGTAATCTGAGCCAGGCCTGATTCTCCTAGAATTATCTGTTTATCTCTTTTGATTCATTTACTCTGCAAAACACCCACGATGCAGGTGCACCTGGGATTCCTGTCTCACAGAGGGGGAAACTGAGGCACAGCGACCAAGTGGCAAAGAGGAGATCCGCAGGCAGGCAGCCTGTCCCCAGGGCCCGGAGAAAGGCTCTCCAGGGAGCTAAGGCGTTTAGCATTTGGTGGCCCCGGGTTTATCCAGCTAAAATCCACAGTTTCACCTTCCTTGTGTTACTTTTTCTTTTGAAATTCACAGGCTGTTTGGGGCAACGAGCAGGGTTTTCCCATTAGGACATTAATATAAACTTTTCCTTTTAAATGAATGGATTCAAGGCTGCACAAGTGTAGAAAATTAAAAAAAATATATATTTAGCACATAATAGTTCAAAGGGGGAAGATTGTGGTCATGGAAAAAAAAGGTCACCAATGGCTGAGGACAGAGACAGATCGTCCAGAGGTGGGAGGAGCACGCCGGCTCCAGGAATTAACCCCTGCCCGCCCACTGTGACCCTCCCTCCGCCCTGGACATGGGTGGGGAGGGGTCCTACCAGGGTCGGGGGACCTGGGGGAGGACAGTGGACACGGGAGGGGGCCAGACCAGATCCATAGTGGATGTTGACTTTTTTCCCAGAAAGCTGGAAACCCCAGGCTGGCGGTCCTCTCCCCACAGCCCCGCAGGCTGGGAGCTGGTGCCCGGAGCAGCTGGGGTGGGGGTTCCAGCCTGGGGGAGGGGAGGCGGAGGCACAGCCGCCCTCGGCCTCATGGGTTCTTCTCCTTCCTCCTTCCCAGGATGCCTTGGGCCTGGGAGCCAGTCTACTCTCCCCGGACGCAGTTCTTCTGTCTGGGGAGGGCCTCACCAAACAAGGTGAGGAAGGAACGGGACAACCTGGGAGAAAAGGTTTCAAGATGTTTGCCGCAGCTTGGGGAAGGCGTGAAGAGGGACATCCCCACCGCCGCCACCGCCATAATGTGGCCAGTCAGCAAGTCCTGTGGCTCTGCCTTCAAATAGACCCAGAATCCTCCCACTTCTCCTCATCGGCCCCCGCCCTGGGCTGACGCCATCATCTCTGGCCTTGGTGCCCTAGCTCCTGACCCCCACATTCTGTTCCCCTCCCAGTGGCCCGAGGGCACATGGGAATGCCTGGATTGGTCCCGTCCCTCCTCTGCTCAAGAACCCTCCATGGCTCCCACTCAGAGGAAAAACCCAAGTCCTCCTGAGGCCCACAAGGCCCTGCATACTCTGCCTGTCACCATGCTGCCCACATTTCATCCTGCTGTCCCCCTCGGTCACTTGGCTACAGCTTTCCTTGTGGAAAACACCAGGCACCGTCTGACCTCAGGGCCTTTGCACGGGCTGTGGCCTCTGCCTGAAGCTCTCTTTCTCCAGATAACCTCAGGGTTCCATGCTTCCTCTCCCTCAGGTTCTTGCCCAAACGTCCCCTGACCCCCCTCCGTGTTGACAGCGTAGCCCCTTCCTCGGCACCCCCGGCTGCTCCCTGCCTTCTCGGCTCCTGCAGCCCTTCATCCCCCCACCGCGGGCTCCCCTGCTTCCCGTCTGCTGTCTGCCCCCCACCCCACTAGACGGTCAGCGGGGCACGACTGGCTCTGTTTGTGTCTCTGGCACCGAGCCTGCGCCCAGTAGGGCTCTGTAATTTGTAACACCCCCCGACCCCCCTCACTGCCCTCCGAAGGCAGCCCCCTTCAGGCTTCCCGCCGGGCCCCCCCGGGGTGTCCACACTGCTCCTCCTCCTTCCCTCTGCCCCAAAGCTCCCGCCCCGCTGACCTATTTGGCAGCCCCTGGAGAGCCTCCTGACCTCTGTGCACACGGTGTGTGGCAGGACACGGGCCCCATTCGCCAGGTGTGAAACCCGCAGTGGGCCGCGGGCCGTCGGCCCCGGGCTCCTCCGCTGGGACGTGGCTGAGCCAGGATTGCTCAGCCAATAATAGTAACAGTGTTCTCTACCATATTACGTGATTATCTTGTTATTATAGCTGCAGCAGTAACACATCCTCCTGGCGCACGGGAGCGCTCAGTGGGCACCTACTGTATGCCTGGCCTCTTCCAGGCGCCTCACACGGCCCAACTCACTCATCTTCTCCGCAGCCGTGGGAGGCACGTGCTGTGATTTCCACTTGACAGATGGGGAGACCGAGGCACGGCGCCGTGAAACGCTCCCATCTCACACAGGGGCCCTGGGCAAACCCGATCTTTCCCCTTCAGGACCACGTGGTCTTGGGCGGGTGATGTGGCCTCTCTGGGCCTCGGTTTCCCCATCTGTGAACTGGCTGGAACCTCGCCAGCGCAGGTGAGGGTCATGGGGAGGATGGAACCGCAGGGGCGCGGCTGGCAGAGGGCACGTGAGGGGCCGCCACGTCCTGCCCCCGGCTTCTTGTGCCACCAATCAGCGCCCGGAACCGGCACGGGCGCAGCCTGAGGCGGGGTCAGATGGGGTCTCGGGTGGAGGGGCAGGACAGGAAGCCCCTGCCTGGAGACAATGGCAGAGGAAGGGCGGCCAGCCCGCCATGAAGCTCCAGGAGGGCGGCTCAGCCATTGTGAGCCCAGACAGCTGCCCCGCCAGGAAGCCCGGGGCGGGGGGTGGGGGGGTCCCCGCAGCGGCTGCGTCTCCTGCTCACTTGACACCTGGGCTCGGCCCGAGGCCACCTGGCCGCCGCTCAGCCCCCGCCCGCTGCCCGCTACCACGTGCATCCAGCTCCTGGCATCCTCAGCAAACTCCCAAATATAGAAGCGAGCTGTCTGGGGCCTTGGCCCAGGGACGGCGGTGGGGCGCCCGGGCCTCTCCGCCTCCTGGGGCTGTGGCTGGGGTGTTGGGGGCAGCACATCCCTTGTGGGGGCACCGAGGACGTGGAGGAGGCAGCCGCAGCGGCAGAGGCGAGGGGCGAGGAGGCGAGGAGGGGCGGTGCACCCAGCTGCCAGGCCCGCTCCTCCACCGCCGTCCTCCACCACCAGCTGCGGTGGCAAGAGTGGGTTGAGCTGTCACCCCGGTGTTCTCAGCTTCTAAGAAATGCAGGCCTTCATGGAACAGCAGGGGCACCCCGAACCCCAAACAAACCCAGCTCCTAGCAACCACTTCCCCTTCCCATGAGCGCTGAGCTGCTGTGGCACCAGCCGGGGCAGGTGACGTGGGCGGGGTGGGGGTGGGGCTATAAATAGCCGGTTTATAAGCAGCCGTGGAGACAGCGGGGCAGGGGTGGCCCTGGGGCAGAGAGAGCTTCTCTCGGGGAGCTGGACCCCAGAGTGTCGCCAGTTTCACCCCCCCAGTGATCCCCAAGATTTGGGGAAGTGGGGGGAACAGAGGGGCCAGCTGCTTAAAGCTTCAGGCAGCATGTTAACACGATGAGGAGACTTTCACGGAAGCTTAATGCTTCCTCAGCAGCAACTGGACAAAGGGGTTGGAATATTACACAGCCATGAAAAAGACCCCACAGATGTGCGATGAGATGAGTGGATCTCGGCAACACACTCCTTTCTTACTTTTAAAAATTGAGTGAAGTGCAAAAATCTTAATTTGCTTCATGAATTTCATAGTAGAATTTTTTCCAGCTTTATGAGATGTAATTGACAAATGAAATTATAATATATTTAAAGTGTATGACGTGGTGACTTGAGGGTAGTAAAATGTGGAGCAGAAAAGATGTCCCCAAAGCCTCATGCAAAAGCCACCTCGTGTCATAAAGCTCAGACATAGAGAAAATGAAACTAGATAAGGTTTCAGGATACAAATAGATGTGAGAAAACTTAAAAAAAAAATAAATAAATGAGCGAGGGAGTAAGAAGCTGAATTCTGGGCCCGACTGGCGGTGTCATGGTTAAGTTCGCACGCCCTGCCTCGGCAGCCCAGGGTTCACCAGTTCGGATCCTAGACGTGGACCCACACACCGCCTGTCAAGCTGAGGCTGCGCGCCACATAGAAGAACTAGAAGGACTTACAACTAGGATGCATAACTATGCACTCGGGGGCTTGGAGGAGAAAAGAAAAAAAGTAGACTGGCAACAGATGTTAGCTCAGGGCCAATCTTCCTCAGCCAAAACCCCCACAGATTTCGGGGAGGTGGGGGAGGGAGCGGGGCCACGCCCCAGGTCTTGGCGGCTCCTGGGTGTGCCTTAGGGACTGTTACAAACGGAAGGAATAAAGTCAGTTAAAGCGGCTCGCGGGGGCCTGAGAAGGAGAACCTGCGCCCCATGGAAACTGGTTTTGAAATTTGAAACTGTTTCCAGGCTCCAGGAGCTGCAGGGAGAGGCAGCACTGGGAGGCGCCGGGAGACGCGCTGGTGGAGGCCGGAGGGGCCCGGCTGGGACGCGGCGGGGCAGCTGTGGGCGGGGGTGCCGGGTAGGCCCCAGGAAGCTGCACGGTCCCAGCGGGAACCCCAGGACACACGGGCATTTCCGCCTTTCTTGAAGGTCTAGGCCTCTTCCCCATTCTGCAAGGGCTCTGGGGAGCGGCGGGCGGGGCTGACCGTGCCCAGTGGGCATGGGCCAGGTGGACCTGGCCCTGTGCCTCGGTGTCTCCATCTGGGCCCCCGGGCCATGGCGCTGGAGGTCGTGACCGGCCCCCCGCCCCCCCCACCGCCGGTGGAAGTGACAGGTTCCAGGAGACCGGGGCTTTGGCCAGAACACTGCGGCCCAGCACTGCAGGAGTGGGTGCCCCGCCGTCAGCGGTGGGAGGCGGCTGCTCAGGAAGTTGAGCATAGTGTCACCCTGTGAGCTGGCAGGTCCCCTTCGCACAGATGCCAGGCAGGCCGAGCACAGGGCCTCAACGGATGCTCGGGGCCCCAAGTTCACAGTGTCCACCCACAGTGACGGGACCCATGCAACGTGCTCCATCCGCATCGTGGAGCCCGATTGGGCCACAAAAGGGAACCAGGCTCTGGAACAGGCGACACCGCGATCGGAGGTGGTGGCCGCGCACGCTGCGGATGTGCTGGATGCCACTGGACTGTTCATGTTCAAATGGTTGATTTTATGTCATTGTGACTCTCACCTCGATTTTAAAAAATCCTGAGCGGGTCGTGGCAGTGTCCCCCACGCCACCCTGGGCATCTCTCCTGTCACAGCCTTTGCTTTGTGGCTCATAGGTCGCCCTTCAGTTCATCTTTCCACTGCCCTAAGGTGACACAGAGGTTACTCTCCTCCTTTTACAGATCTGATCATCATGCATTCACTCAACAAACACTGCATGCCAGGGGCTGTTCTAGGCGCTGGGGAGGGCAGGTGTGAACAAGCCCAACCAAAACGTCTGCCCGTGGGCCTGATATTCCAGCCGGGGAGAAGACTGTGAACTCGATAAAGAGAACAGAATGGAGAACATAGGAATGGGGAAATTAAGCAGGTTAACGAAGGAGGAGGGGAGCTGGGAGGTTGCTGAATTGAACAGGGTGGGCGAGGAAGGGCTCACTGAGGAAAGACCTGAGGGAGGAGCCATGAGGACATCTGGGGAAGGGCGTTCCAGACAGAGAGAACAGCCTGTGCAAAGGCCCTGAGACTGGAGTGTGCCTGGTGTGGAGAGCAAGGGGGCTTATGAGGCTGCAGCCAGGCGAGCGGGGGGAGAGGAGTTGGAGGCGAGGCCGCAGAGAGAATGATTGAGACCGTGTGCAGCAGAGGTGACAGGAGAATAGCTAACACCCGCGAGGTGTGAAGCTGGCTGGGACGACCTCAGCCCTGTGGCTTCCCGCCTGCCCTCTCATCTCGGGGTGCCTGGGCCTGGGACCCTGCACGGCCGCCCCCAGCCCATGGAGTGGGCAGACCTCCCCCCGCAGACCCGAGCCTGAAGTTGGCTGCTCACAATCAGGCGTGAGGAAAGCCCACAGGTTGGTCTGCAGGTGGGGAAACTGAGGCTAGAGTAGGGAGGGATGGCTTGGGGTCACGTAAATACAGGCAGTGCTGGGGAGCCTCCTGGACCCCGGGGGTGGGCGTGCGGACCCTGCGAGACTCCAGGTCCAGCCCCTCAGCGCTGGCCTGAATGGTGCAGCCGCCTCCGCCCAGCACCCTGGCTCCCACCCTCGCCCTCCACAGTCTGTTTCCCCACAGCGGCCAGAGGTCGCCGTGAGAGCCCGAGTCATATGGCGTCCCTCCTCTGCTCAGAACCCTCCGTGCCTCCCACCTCACTCAGAGCAAAGAGCCCAAGTCCTTGGCCCTGCTCTCTGCCGGGCCCCCCCTGCTCCACCGCCCATCTCTGCCTTGCTAGCCTCCTGCAGCGACCTGGGCCTGGTCGGTGTTCCTCAAACCCTCCAGGCACATTCCTGCCTCAGGGCCTTTGCACAGGCTGTTCCCTCTGCCTGCACTATCCTTCCTCCCCCAGACACCACACATTGCCCCCTTCACCTCCTCTTATTTCCTTTTGGAAGATTAGCCCTGAGCTAACTGCTGCCAATCCTCCTCTTTTTGCTGAGGAAGACTGGCCCTGAGCTAACATCCGTGCCCATCTTCCTCCATTTTATATGTGGGACGCCTACTACAGCATGGCTTGACAAGTCGTGCCATGTCCGCACCCGGGATCCGAACTGGTGAACCCTGGGCTGCCGAAGCACAAGGTGCGCACTTAACTGCTGCGCCACCGGGCCAGCCCCCCTCACCTCCTTCAAGTCTTGAACTGAGACCTCCTCTGACCCCTCTCTGAGAGTGCAGCCACCCCCAGGACCCTGTCACCTGCTGTGCCGTTTCTTCTTTCCAAAGCACTGAGCCCCGTGCAGTCAGTGTGCAGCGTCCTCACCGTCGTCTGCCCCCTCCAGTGGCCCTTGCCTTCAACAGTGCCTGGGACACAGCTGGCGCTCAATGATGGCTGCGTGAGTGAAGGTGAAAGTCTGAGTTCATTGCGCTGTGTCCTTAACACCTTTAAATACCCCGGTGATCTCTCTCCATTTTATTTATTTTCCTTTTTGTCTTTTTTTGTTTCTTTTTTAACACCAAGAGCAGTCTCTTTGCTCCATGGCTGGACTAGGTGGGGCGGCTCGCAGGGTCCTGGGCGGGGCCTACCTCAGCGCCTTGCCGCCGTGCCACCGCCAATGTGACCCCGCCAATGTGATCCCGCCGATGTGACCCCGCCAATGTGCCGCCCTGCTGTGTGACCCACTCGCCGCCACCGTGCCCCTACCGCCACGCAGTGCTTTCCTCTGTGCCGTCCACTTGGGAAATGGCCCTGGTTTCCTTTGGTGGCAGTGGTACAAAGGGTCCTTTCAAAACAAATTTGCTTATGAATTTTTTTTTTTTTTGAGGAAGATTAGCCCTGAGCTAACTACTACCAATCCTCCTCTTTTTTGCTGAGGAAGATGGGCTCTGAGCTAACATCCGTGCCTATCTTCCTCTACTTTCTACGCGGGACACCTCCCACAGCATAGCTTTTGCCAAGTGGTGCCATGTCCGCACCCGGAATCCGAACTGGTGAATCCCGGGCCCTGAGAACCGGAACGTGCGAACTTACCCACTGCGCCACCGGGCTGGCCCCTCGCTTATGAATTTTAAAAAGGAAAAGCAAGCTGATTGAAGGAAGAGTGTGGGGCACAGTGGCATCACCCCGCCAGCGCCGGCTGGGACTCGAAAAGCCAGGGACCAGGCGATGGCAGCCAGCGCCGTCCTCCCGGGTGCTCCGAGGAAGGGCTCCTCTGACAGCGTCTCCCGTTGGCGCCTGTATCTGGGATGAGGGCATCACCGGGGTTTCCCTGGGCCCCTGGCGTGTGTCTCAGTGCCGAGTGAGAAGCTCAGTGGCGACCCCTTTGTGGACGTGGGATACAGCGCCGCCACACCTGCCTCGGGCACCAGCTCCTGCCTGGCTTGAGCAGCCAGCCCTGGGGCCCTCGGTGGCCCCGCCACGGGCAAGGAGGCTGGCGCCCACGGCCTGAGCCTCCTTCAGAACAGAGTCGTGAGATCCCCAGACGATGGCCCACAAGCGCGTGAAAAGATACTCGATTGACATCCCTGATCTTCAGGGAAATTCGAATCAGGAGCACAATGAGACACCATCTCACATTTATTAGAATGGCTCCTACGAAGAGAAAAAACCACATCACGAGTGTTGGCGAGGACGTGGAGAAATTGGGACGCTCGTGTGCTGCTGGTGGGAGTGCAAAGGGCGTGGCCGCCATGGAGACAGCAGTCAGTTCCTGGTAAAATTAAACTCGATCAGCAGCCCTGCTGGGCTTGCCCCCAAAAGAGCTGCGACGCATCCTGAAGGATATTCACACACCATCCTGGCAGCAGCCAAAAAGGGGTAGCAACTCAGGTGTCGGCCGATGGACAGATGAGTAGACAAATGTGGTCCATCCACACAGTGGACTATGACTCAGTGTCAAAAAGGAGGGATGTTCTGACACCTGCCACCACGTGGAAGGACCCTGACGACACCATGCGCGGTGAAACAAGCCAGTCACCAAACGACAAAAACACTGCGTGACCCACTTAAATGAGGCGACTGAGGTAGTCAAACTCTAGAAACGGAAAGCGCAGCGGCGTTGGCTGCTGCCCGGGGCCGGGAGGGGTGGGAGCCGCTGTCTCTGTGGGCACAGTTTCAGTTTTGCAAGAAGAAAAATTCTGGAGGTGGATTGCACAACAATGTAAACACACTTAACCGAACTGCACGCCCAAAAACGGTCATGACGGTGAGTTTTAGATCACGTGTTTTTTACCACTTAAAATTGAGAAGGAGGGAAATGCTGACACCTGCTCCAACGCGGACGGACCTGGAGGACATTACGCCGAGGGAAATAATCGGGTCACAACAGGACAGATGCTGCAGGATCCCGCTCATGGGAGGTCCCTGGAGTCAAGTTCACAGAGACGGGAAGTGGACGGTGGTTCCCAGGGCTGGGGTGGGGGCAGGCGGCAAGGAAGTGAGTGTTTATGGGGTCAGAGCTCCAGTTTGGGAAGACAAGACGAGACATTTCTAGAGACGGACGGTGGGGCTGGTTGCCCAACAGTGTGAGTGCACTTAATGCCAATAACTGGATGCTTAAAAATGGTGAAGGCGGTAAATTCTACATTATGCATATTTCGTCACATTTAAAACAAGAGAAATCCCAGGCAGGACGTTAGGACAGGACTGAGGCTGGACGCCCAGCCCGGGGGGGGGGCTGTCAGGTGGCAGGAAGCTGGGACAGGGGCAGGGGGGAACCCCCAGGGAGTCAACACTAATTGTGCCCTAAAGCCTGGGACCTTCCCGTCTCCACCCGGCCCTCCCGCCTCGGTCCAGAAACCCAGCTCCCCCGCTCAACCTGGCCGGGCTGCCACGGGGCCACTGGGGTCGCCACCCGGGACGCTCTCTCCTGTCAGGCGCGAGGGAGGAGGTGGTGCCTGCCCACGCGGGTGGCGGTGTGACTGGTTTTGGCTGGAAAAACGGGAGAGGGTGTGACATGTGTGGCTTCCGGTGGGGGCTTGAGAGCCGGTGCCGACAGTGGCTGTTTCCTTCTCCCTCTGCAGTCACCTGGGATGCACGGATGTGGCAGGCGCAGGGTGACGTGCCCGCTGTCCCAGGCCTGGGCTCTGACCGGCGACAGTCACCATGAGCCGTGCCCCGCGTACTGGCCTCCCACGGTGGGCCCCCGGCTGCAGGCACACAAGGAGGGAGCCACCACCTGGCAGAACGAGGTTTAAGGGGGCACCAAAGAACTCAGGAGTCAAGATAGATGTTATTCTAACACAGCGTTTTAAAGAAATCAAAATTAATGCAAAATGCCCACGAGGAATAAAATAGCAACATTTTACACGCAGACAAGACCAGTCTCGGTGCCACGCTGAGGCGCTCCCGGGCCTGAGGCAAAGGGGAAGCACACCTGTGCGCTCGGCCCTTGCTGTGGCCCCACGTGCCGCTGCACCTGGGGCTCCGTGGCCACGGGGCCACAGTCCAAGGGCGCTGAGATCCCTGGGAATAGCCCTCCATCACTCTCAGCCAGCCCCACCCCCTCATATGGGGTAACTCTGGGGGCTCCAGAGGGGCTGAGCCCAGGCGCCCACAGCTCAGTATCTGCTGCCCAGCCATCCCCAGCTCACTTCCTGCCTTCTCTACAGATGCTTTCTTGAATCCTCATCTAGTGAAGCAGCTGCTCTCAACCCTTGTCTCAGGCTCTGCACTGGGGGGAAGCCAGCCCCAGGCAGACGTCCATTATGATTCTCTTTAACGTGGCAAACTCTGTGACTCCTGACACCCCTCCTGACCTGGGGCAGGTCACTGGCAGGTCACTTCTGCTCCAGGGCCCCTCACAGGCTGCCAGCCGGGTGTCTTGGGGGCTGCAGTGTCATCCGAGGGCTCGAGAGGGGAGGCTCCACCCCACAGTCAGCCTGAGCAGTTGGCAGGACTCAGCCCCCTGGCTGAGGAGATGCTTCAGCTCCCGGCTGAGCGGGCCCCCCCGGGGCAGCTCACAGGGCAGCCACTGGCGTCATTGGAGCTGGTGAGAGCGAGACGGAAGCCTCGGTCATTTGGAAGCCGGTCTTGGAAGCGTGGCCCAGTCATCTGTGTCTTATTCTGTAGTTAGAAGTGAGTCTCAAGGTGCTGCCCGCGCTCCAGGACAAGGGAGGGACACGGTGTGAATGCCAGGAGGCAGGAACCGTGGGGCCACCTTGGTGTCTGTCCACTGATTTTCGCCTTCTTAGTGTATGGCACCCTGACCTGCTCAGTTCTTCACCCCCAGAGGGGTGCCCTCCCGGACCCCTATCTGTCTGCCATGCCGTCTGTGAGGCCTCCGACCTGGCTCCAGATGCCCTTCTGATCCCGCCTCCTTCCCTCAGGGCTGGCTGTGCCCACCTCACGTCTCTTCTTGGAAGCTCAGTCCCACCTCAGGGCCTTTGCACCTGCCGTTCCCTCTGCCCGGAATTCTCTGTCTCCAGACATCTGCACGGCTCCCCCTTCAGGGTCTCTCACAGGCTGCCGGCGGGTGTCAGCTGGGGCTGCGGTCTCACTGGAAGCCTCAGTCAGGGAAGGAAACCCCTCCTGCAGGCCTCGGCTTCAACACGAGCTCTTTGAAGATGCATTCCTGGCCCAGCACAACACTGAGGCCTGTACGGTCGAGTCAGCTCAGCAGCCCAGGGGGCCCTGATCCCGCACGTTCCCAAGAAAGGCCCATCTGCAGGCCCGGCCCTACTCCTAGGATGTCACCTGCTTGCCCCCGGGACGTCCTGCCTGTGAGAATCTGCACCCTGGACCTCAGCCGGGACGGACGCCCTGGGCTCCTGTGAGATTCCGCTGGGCCTGGGCCCCCGTTCAGAATCAGCGGGACCTCTGCAGGGGCTGCAGCCCGGGCCAGCCGCACGCTGGTCAGCCACGCCTACGCGCCCACCTCCCCGTAAAACGCTGGGCCCCAGGGCTCAGGCGGGTGTCCCTGCTTGGCGACAGTCCACGTGGAGAATTCACGGCTGTCCGCTGACTCCAAGGGCGGACACTGGAAGCTGGCGCCTGGCCTTGCCGGGTCCCGCTCCTCGAGCTTTTGCTCTTTGCTGACTTTAATCTGTATCCTTCCCCTGTGATAAACCGTAATCACGAGTAGAACAGCTTTTCTGCGGTCTGTGAGTCCTAGTGAATCATGCACCCCAAGGGGGGTCTTGGGGACCGCCACCCAAGCCCCCCACCCCAGCCGCCCTCTGAGATCTTCCTCACCCTTGTCACCGAGTGGTATGTTCTCGCTCATTTGCTATTTCCTGTCTCTCTCTCCCGGATAGAGGGCTCCGGAAGGCCAGGCCTCGTCTGTGGCTCTCACGAGGGACAGAGGAGCAGAGCGGCCGGGGGTCGCGTCCTGGCTCTGCTACTTTCTGGGGGTGCAGCCCTGGGCACGCAGCATCCCCTCTCTGAGCGCCAGCCTCCCCACCTGTAAGTGGGAGCAGCAACACGGAACACCCATTCCTCCCACACGGCCGGCCAGCGGGGGATGCAGGGGCCAGAGAGGCCTCCAGAGCGCCAGCTTTGAGGTAGCGGTCCCTGTCTCCCCAGGGGCAGGAGCAGGTCCGGAGGGTTCCCAGTAAAGAGCACAGCAGTCAAGGAGACTCCACTGTGGCCTTTGACATGGAGAGGCAGGAGGCGGCTGGAGATACTCAGACAGCCGGTGGGGGTCGGGGGGAGGGGAAGGGGGAGGGGAAGGGGGAGGAAGTGGAGAAGCGGAGGGGAGGAGGGGGAGGAGGAGGAAGAGGAGAAGAGGGGGAGGAGAAGGAGAAGAAGGAGGGGGAGAGGCAGGAGGAGGGGGCACACAGGCCACAGGACAAGGGAGGCCCAGGGAGGGTCGGGGGCCTGCGGCTCTGGTCACAGGCGCTGCCAGGGCTGCTCGGGAGCCAGGCCGCCGGTGGCCGGCAGGGAGGAGGCCGCGGGCGAGGCGGGGCGGGGCCGTCAGGGCTCCTAGGAGGACGCCCGGGGGGTCTGGGGCCGGAGCCGGGCGGGAGGGGTGGCGGTGATCCGTCTGGCCCGGAGTCGGGGGGACGGCTCCCCGGCCGAGCTCTGCAAGAGGCCGGAGGCCTGAGAGCAGAGTGGAGGGGAGGCCGGCGCCAGAGCTCTCCCGTCGCCACGCCACTGCCGCTGCGCAGCCTGCACCCCGGGTCCCTCGCGCCACCTCTCTGGGCCTCAGTTTCCTTCCAAGAGGCCCAGACGCTCAGGTCCAAATACTTGGAGCCTCTGTCTCTGTGCCCCCGTCCCCCGCGTCAGCAACCCTGTGGGCACTACAGCCAACATCTAACCGGAATCCACCAGCCCCTCACCTCCTCCACGGCCCCATCCTCCTGCATGAGGCCGTCACCTCCCCTGGGACCAGCGCAGTGCCCTCTACTCTCATCTTCCAGCTCCCGCTCTCACCCCCTACAGCCTGTTCCCCCAGCAGCAGCCAGAGGGCGCCCTTGAGTGTCCGAGTCAGGTCCTTCCTCTGCTCAGGAACCCTCCATGGCTCCCACCTCACACAAAGCAGAAGTCAGAGTCCTCCCGGTGACCCACCAGGCTGTGCTCCCTCTGCCCTGCCCCTCCCTGCCTACTTGCACCCGCTCTCCCCCTCAGTGTTCCCTCCAGCCCCACTGGCCGCCTCACTGTCCTGGCCAGCTCCCGCCCCAGGGCCTTTGCACAGACCGTTACTTTCTGCCTGGTACTCTCCCCCGTATATCTCCACACGGCCCCCTCCTCGCCTCCTTCAGGTCTTCACTCAAACGTCTTCCCTGACCCCTTGACTTAAAACAGCCCCTCCCCAGGCCTACTTAATTTTCCCAACACATCCCTGCCGAGGCTGGGCCGGTCTCGCTTCTCGGCCTTGCTTGTGCCCCCGCGGGCGAGACTTGTGCTGTGCGCAGCGTGAGGTGCACCCAGGCAGGTGCCTGTCATCAGTTTACCCAGCGCTTGGCGTGGCCACTGTCACAGACCTTCACCCCAGGCCCCCTGGGCCCCCTGCTCGCCTCCACTCTCCCCTTTGCTCCGCTCATTTCTCTCCTTAGCTGCTGGTAGATAGAAACAGCCTTTGCTTTTATATATTGACCTTGTGCGCACGGCCCTTGCTAAATTCACTCAGATTTATTAGTTTATTGGTAGATCTTATTCCATCTGCTACGTACGTAATTGTGCCATTCACAAATGAGGAAGGTCTTATTTATTGCATTTCAATCTTTCAATCTCCTATTATCTTTTTTTTAAAGATGGGCACCTGAGCTAACATCTGTTGCCAATCTTCTTTTTTTTTTTTTGCTTTTTCTTCTTCTTCCCAAAGCCCCCCAGGACATAGTTGTATATTTTAGTTGTGGGTCCTTCTAGTTGTGGCATGTGACATGTCACCTCACTGTGGCCTGACGAGCGGTGCCATGTCCGCACCCGGGATCGGAACCAGTGAAACCCTGGGCCGCCGAAGCAGAGCTCACGAACCCAATCACTGGGCCCCGGGGCCACCCCTGTGTTTTCTTTCTTTGTCACCCTGGCTCCTTCCTCTTGTGCAATGTTGCAGAGAAATGCTGATAGCGGCCATTCCTTTTCTGGTCTAATCTCGGGGACATCACCACTATGTCACAATTCCGCTTGATACCCGCTGTGGCGGCTTTGGCAGCCACCTCGCAGCAGAGCCCCGCGGCTCCCTCCGCTCCCGCCTCGCTCCGAGTTTTGAGCGTGAATGGGCGTTGAGTCTCGTGGCTGCATCCCGACAGCGCTTCCTCCGTGCTGCGTGCAAGTCCTGTATCAGCACAGACCTGCACGGCGTCCCCTGGTCTGAGGCTCAGCGTTCCCTTCTCTTGACGTCCTCTGAAGAGCACGAGTTTTCATTGTGATGAAGTCCAATGTATTAACGTTTTCTTTCGAGGGTCACACTTTTGAAGACATGTCCAGGTAGTCTCTGCCTAAGCTGAGGTCACACAGATTTCCTTGTGTGTTTTCTCCTGGGCGTCTTATAGTTTTAGGTTTTACATTTAGGTCCATAATCCTAGACCTGAATTTTTTGTATAGGACGTGAAGCAGGGTCTAAACTGTCCTTTTTTTCCTGCACGTGTATGTCGTATTCTTAGGAAAGTGTGAGGGGGTTTCCTGTTTCTGGTACAGTTAACGCTTGGCTCCTGCTCCTGCCTGTAATTCTTGGCGGCCCAGGAGAGAAAGCTGCGGGAGCTGCCCAGACGGGAGGCGGCCCAGCCCTCTTGGGCTGAAATCCAGCCCCAAGGGTCCTCATGGCCCCTCCACCGACAGCTCTGAGCGCGCCGACCACAGGCCCTTCCTAGGGCTGGACGGGGGCTCTGAGGCCCAGACAGAGCCAGGGGCCAGCGCGGCCAGACCGGCCCCTGTGGCTTCTCGGGGGAGGCAGCCCCTGTCTCCGGGTGTCCCCGGCCAGCCTCTGGGTGACCCCGCTTCCGCCAACCAAGCCGGGTCGTGCCTCCCTGTGCCCTCGGCTAAAGCAAACATTCCCAGCAGCCTGTCCAGGGAGCCTGGAGCGGCGGGGGCTGCGGGCTCTGCGGGCCCCTCGCCTCCTGGGAGGGAACCCGGGCGCCGGTCCCCCACCCCTCCCCACCGGTGCTGCCCGCGGGTCGTGGGAAAAGGCAACAAATCAAACCGCAGGGAGGCGTGGGAGCAGGGACCCAGCTTCGGAGGCCGAGTCCAGCCCTCTGTGCGTGAAATCCCTCTGCGTCAGTCTGACATCTGTTCTTCGCCTGAGCTCCTGAGTCAGGCTGGTCCCGTCCCTCCTCCGCGCAGAATCCCCGGCTCCCCCCTCGTTCAGGTTAAAGTCTAAAGTCCTCCTGAGGCCCACAAGGCCCTGCACAACCCACCCCCACCGCTTCACTCCCACGCTGCCCCTCACTCCCTCCCTCCAGCCACACAGGCCCGGTCGCTGTTCTCCAAACACACCAGCCCCAGCCCCGCCTCAGGGCCTTTGCACAGGCTATTCCCTCTGCCTGGAAGACCCTTCCCCAGGTATTTTCACTCCTGCCTCAAGTCTTTGCTCAGGTCCCACCTCCTCTTGAAGCCTCCCCCTCCAGCCGCCTCTATCCTTTTTCCAGCTTTCATTTCTCCATAGCTCAGCAGCCTTCTGATATCGCTGTAATCATGCCTTACCTAGAGTGCCGGCTGCCTGAGAGCAGGGTGCTTTCTGTCTGGTTCACCTCTGTGTCCTCAGCACCTAGGACAGGGCCAGGCACACAGTAGATGCTCAGTAAACGTTTGTGGAATGAACTGTCTCCTCCTCCACATTTTGTCCACTGAGATCCCACTCCCACCACCAGGAGCGGTCAGGTGGCCCAGGCCCAGCCAGGGGGCACAGTCCATCCGTTCTGGCCACAGCGATTGGCTTCTAAACGGCACATGACCCCAGTCTGCCCAACGAGAGGGAGCCTGGGGCTTTTGCTACAGCCAGTGGCTAAGTGGCTTTCTCGTTGTCCTCTAGAGTTTCTAGGCTGATAAAACATAAACAGGGGTGGCAGAGGCCATTCGTCCTGAGAGTAAAGCTCCCCAGAGGCAAGCTTAGTTGAGGGGGGGAGATTACTCGGTTTGAGCCCCTGGATCCAGCCGTCCCTGAAGCCAACATACCTTAGACTTTTCAGTTATATGAACCAATAAATTCTTTTCGTTGTTGTTCTCAAGCTCGTTTGGGTTTGGATTTTTACTTCCTTCCCTTTGGAGGGCGGGTGACAGGCACAGTTTTGACTCAGTTGTGTTCAGGGGTGGGCATGGTGGTTCAGGCCAGGATGGGGTAAGGGCTAAATCAGAGGTAGAAGGACAGAAGGGATGGAGGGAAGGAGGAGGAGAGAGAGAGAAAGGAAGGAAGGAAGGAAAAGGAAAGGAAAGAGGAGGAGGGAGAGGAGGAAGGACGGAGGGAATGAGGAAAGGAAAGAAAGTAGAAAAAGAAAGGAAGGAAGGAAGGAGGAGGGTAGGAAGGCAGCATTGGGCGGGACTATTTCAGTCTCAAGTCGCTGCCTCCCTAGGCCCACCCTCCCCGCCCAAGCCTGTGGGATTCTGCCAAACGTGGGTGTGAATCCCGGCTCTCCCATTAGAGGGCTGTGCGCCCCCAGGAAGTGACTGTGCCTCTCTGGGCCCCCATTTCCCCATCTGTAAAATGGGGGCATGACA